CTCGGAGTCGGGCTCGGAGTGGGAGGAGAACGCCCTCGGCGCCTTCCGAACCCTATGAGCGCCGCCCCGGGAGGGACCGGGACCCGGCCCCGGGGAGGGTTAAAACTGCATCCCCCGGTCTCGGTGCCGCGTCCTCCCCGCGCCGAACCCAGTCCTGGGGGGACGCGGCTGAGGCAGGGGGCACTACCGCGCTACCTCAGCCCTGCTCTGCAACTGTTGCACTTTATCCGGTAGTAACTGATTTTACTATTTATTTAAGAAAGATACGGGTCAGCTCTAGCAGCTGAGGGCATCTTTTTACACTGTATTTAAAGATTTCCATGAGCATGTTTTGTATTTCTGTTTAACCTTCTTTAGGCAAAAGCTAATCAAATCCACTGTGTTTTGGGGGTGGGGACTAGTCTTAGAAAAGTAGAAGAGTGGGATGGTCTGTCAGGATTTTTTGACAGAGGAAAAAAAAAAAATAAAAGGTTTGAATTTTCACTCTACTTGTGTGTGTACCTGGGGCAGGGACAGGGGTTCTTACCTTGGTCCATGTAGGGTAGAGAACAGAGGTGGTGGGTATCCCAGCTGCAGGTTCTCTTCTCAGGTCCTGGAGAGCCTGGACCTGCGGTCCAGGTGTGAAGAAGAGACCTAAGGAGTCTGAAGGACAGGTTACGAAAACTGCCTTAAACCGCCTGTCAGTATTTGCTTTAGATCTGCTCTAAACAACCACCTCATTCCCTTAACAAAAATGCAAATTTATGACCTGAGCAATACAAAACCCAAACCCTGAAGTCATTGTCTTGCTCGGACAAAAACCTCAACTCTGCCGTGTAAGCCAAGGTTAAGCTACAGAAAAGCAGGGATATTCTACGAGCACTGCAAAGGTGCTTTAGTTTGGAATTGGAATACTAGGGACTACACAGATGCTGCTTAAATGGTGGGCAGTGCTTGGAACGGCTCTGCACTGACACCACTTCTGAGAACACCAAAATTACACCCGTAAGACTTGAATTACAAGTGAGCACCTGAATGCCATGAGGCTCGGATTGTTTGGGAGCACAGGAAAGGTGACCTGTGTACCGGTGGATCGAGCATCGTGTCCCATAGAATAAGGTTACCAATGCACAAAGGCTTTCCGTGTCGCCCCGTAACATACCTGTGCTCGCAAGATCTGGGAGAGCTGCATTGTGGTTGCACTGCAAACTTATAAGGGTAAACGGCACAGCGGGATTGCCGATCAACATTCTCCCTCTAAAAAGCAGAGCTCTCCTTGAAATAAACATGACGCAAAACCAACCAGCCAAAAATCAGACGCCATCCACCCAAGTGGACTTGGGTGCCCAAGGAGCTGTGACCTTAGGGAAGAAGGTGAGCTGCTCTCCAGCAGCGTAGCTCCCCGAACTCTCCCGCTGGCAGATTTTATGAGCAGCAGATGACGAGGAGACGGGGGGGTGAGGGGACGGTTCCTTTTTCCTGCATTAACTGTAGATGACGGTAGTTACTGTCAGACTGAACATCCATGCCTTAAATTAGACTGTGGCACTTTTCTTTGTTTAAATGAAAAGGGTGGTGGGAGGGGACCTTCCGGTTGTCTTTACCAAACAGATGGTAACATCACAAAATAACGGGTAACATAATTACAAACGCAACTGGAGGGACCACTGCAATGTTCTGTTGCGTTACAAGAGGCACCTTTCCATGGGTAACTCAGTAAAATCAGTGCTTATCATTATTTTGTAATATCCCTTGTAAATTGTCTAAATACCTTTTAAAACAGCTACTCACCTTGTCGTCATAACATTTCATTTTCAGCAATTAAATTAACTTCTCTTAAAAAAAATGACCTGAGACCATCTGCAAAAAACTTTGCATTTTTGTGAAATATATCAACTCTCATAGGTCAATTTATTCAGAGTTACAAATTTCATTGAGAATAAAAGATTTATGCATTTCTCTTAATTAACAGAACAAGTTTAGCTAAATATAAACTCTGCACTAAAGTTTTGCAGTGGCACAATACCAACACAGAATACAGAAGCATCTTTAAACTATACAAAATTTTAAAATTGAAAATAATCCTGTTTACATATTCTTTATACATTAACATATAAAAGACCTCATTTAATGAGGCATCTAAAAGAATCAAAAACATCTCTACAGCTATCTCTGGAAATTCAAATCTGGAAACAATTCATTACACAGAAGCTTTACAAGACTATTTAAACAAACCAATACACACTTTTTACAAGATTAACATTCCAAAAGGTACTCATAGGCAGGTTGTCACGTTTTATTTTTTGCAGTTTACCTCACTGGTTATCTTTAATTATAAAAATCTTCATATTTCTATGTGTGGGGTATTGTTGGATAACCAGTAATCTAATTTAAAAGTTGTGCAAAACAAACAAAAATTTGGAAAAACATTAAGTTTAACCAGTCATTTATATAAAATACCAACTAAAGCATTTCTTTCGCCCCATGTGAAGGGAAAAAGCCATCACCAATCTCTTTCTGGAAAGTTACCGGTTACTTTTTTATATTCCTTCATGAGATTCCTTATATAAGTTATGATAAATTAAAAGTTCCAACAAGACACTGACTGATCGATAGACCTGCCCAACATCCTCAAGTTTACAGCTTCTGTTTGCTGCCCGTATCCTGTTGCTGCTTCTGTTCAGATCGGGAACGCTCAGCCTGCGTTGTCACCCCGCGACCCAAAGGCTGAAATGGCAACTCTCAATACCTACACGGAAGCGTAGCTTTACGTAAGACAGACCTGCCGTGTGGCTACTAATTGGAGCCGTTTCCTCTTCATCACTTCTAACATACCAGGAGAGCCAACAGCAAGAGGTGTGCAGAACTAATCTGAACTTTTTAAAAACTAAGTTCAAATTATATGAAAGCATGTTTTCAAGTTTATTATAATAAATGCAATTACTAAGAGATTACCAGTTAGCAAAACTACTGCATGTGAGTAACAAATGGAGAAATCTAACGTAACGCTGGCCAGTAATGCTGGTTTTCTTAAGAAGCAGATATAATATATTTAAAAGGGTCTTTTCTGAGAGGTTTTCTTTTCCCTTATCTTCTGGCAGTTAGGATATTTGGTGAAGCCTATATAAAGGAAGAGGATTTTCCAGAACTACTTGCTGTACACTTGAAAGAAAATTTTCAGTCTCTGTTGGTGTTATTAGCTGCAAAAGCATGTAGATTTCCCATCTGGCTCAGACCGCTCTGAATATGTGCAACATGGATCTCAACGTTATTCTGAAAACAACTACAGGAAGAAAAGAAGAAAGGAAAAAAAAAAGCATTAAACCTCATATTTAAGAGTTGTGTCTGAAAGTCAAAGTAACACAAATTACACTAATGCAACTTGGTAGAGACATACGTGAAAACAGCATTTGCACAAACAGCTGCATGAAATCAGAAGTTACTGACTCAGGTACTTTAAAGAAGGCTTCAACATGACCAGAGTTAAATAAAAATATTATGAAGAGATGCTAAAATGCCCAAAATAAGTACAGTGAAATGGAAAGATTATCACCTTCTTCACAGCGTACATGAACCTTCAGTTGAATCCATTCCAACGTCTGATTTGCGGTGCTGATTATAGAGACGTTTCACTTATGTTTGGGGTTTATTTTTGTTTTTACTCATGAAAAATGCTATAAAACAGCATTTCTCAATAATATTTTTAAATCAAAAGGCCATCCTACTCTCTTTGCAAAAAAAATATTCATGTGTGTAGCCTCTCATTATTATGTAGCAATACAAGTATGGAGGGTATAAGGAAATACTTCGCATTTAGGTGTATTTTCTAAATTAGGTAGTTTCACAACATTATAACTATAAAAAATCCTGGTCACAAACTACTGGAGGCTGCAGTGTACTGCAGACAAGTATCATCACATTCTTGCTGGTTTTATAATGCTTCCTCAGGCACCCGCTTGTGACAACTGTTGAAGAATGGCACAACATGGCTGCTCTTCTGTTTCTGGGTTTAAAATATTGCTAATGGAAGCTGGTCAAAACCTGTAATTGCCTCATATGCCAGCTTTTGATATTTACAGGCAAGAGGCTGGTTGAGTAATTATGCAAAAAGAATGCTGAAATGGTACTGTTCTGCGTTTTAAAGAACTTACAATACATTTAGGAGAGGGATTTGAAAGTCTGACAATGTTCTGAAATAACTTATTAGTTGTCGTAGACGACCGAAGAGCAAGAAAGTCTAGTTGTTGCTGCATCAATTTAGCACTTCTTTTTTTCTATTTTTTCTTCTTTTAAATCAGATTACTTCACTGATAGGTTCCAACAGAAATCTACTAATTTCACACTCCCTTTAAGAAGCCCCCTTTAAAATGGGACTATTCCCATAAGTAAAAGTTACCAGATTAAAACCCTTAATTATAATCAATGTTCACCTCTAAAATACAGTGAGAATTGCTTGCTAGCACAAAACATGTAATTAAGAGCTAAATATTCAAAAAGTAATACCTGATATTTGAGGAGTCTATTGAATTCTTAATGTCATTTAATGAATCTGTTAGTGATTTAAATTCAAAGGAATTCAGGTCACCTCCTTCTGCTAGACACTGTAGGAGAAGAAAACAAAAAATGTTCTCACAGTTCAGCACAAAGAAACTAACAGAACCCTTAACGCTATGTATTTTATGAGGGAAGCTGTATTTTTTACAAAAATTTTACCTTAATCTGCAGTAATATTGCTGTAAGTCTAGCGATAAGATCAGTTAAATTTTCACTTTCAACACAAAGCTGTCCTGTCGTTAAGGAATTTGCTTGCCTGACGATCTCCTGAGCCTCCTCTTCACACCTACGCCTCAGATCTGTCGGTTGGTCTGCAGGCTGGAGGCCTTGGTCAGGAGCAAGCTGCACAGATATCATAAAGAGAAACAAGGAATGAAGGTCTCCTTTGCGTTTGGTGTATGTGTGAAATGGCAAATTATTTCAAAGAGAGTTCACAGCTATATGTAGCACAGAGTATTGCAGTATTTTTTCTTCATTTATGTACATGCATGTCTATTTCAAAACTGACCACTGGCATCAGCAAAACTGTCTATGTTCTGGTAAAAGAAACAGAGACAGAGGCACGGACAGAGAGAAAAGGACTGCAATACAGCTGCTACTAGTTTCATATCAAAGTGACCCCCCACCTATGCTCTATTCCCAGGAAATTTTTTTTCTTTTTGTACTTAGCTTAAGCAAAACCAACAAGTACATACAGATTCCAGCAAAATCTTACCTCATAACAATACTGTTGAACTTTATGCAAAACTTTATTTAAGTCTTTGTTTAGTTGTTCTAGGTCTAGAACAATGGTCGCGTATCTCCTCTGAAACTCAATACCTATTGGCATAGAATAGGATTTCTGTGGAAAAGACAAAGCAAAGTTAATGCAATACTTTACCTATATATCTTTTGAACTCATCAAAAGGAATTTTCACTTGAAAATAAGACCGAGATATTTGAAATCCCAGAGTTTAACAGAAAAATGTCAAGATACAAAACACTTAAATAGCAGTACTAGGTTTTAAACTCCAAACGGCAACTGTGTCGTAACTACCATGCTTTTATTGTTTTCGTAATCTGTGCTACAGATTATGTGCACAATAAAGTGCTACAATAATCTGTGGTGGTAAATATGTAGTATTTACCACCAGACTGTGGCCTGACCTGCATATTTCTCCAGTAGCTGGGCATGGCTTCTCTCTACTGTATGAACAGAAAACTATCCTCTCAGCAGGAGAACAGTATAGGACAATATGGCCACGACCACCTCTGCTGCAGGATGGGAGGCACAGTTGTCTAGTAAGTTAGTGGTCACCTGAGGATGACTCAGTGCTACATACCTTCTGTTACAACTAATGGTTCTGCCAAAAAAGAAAGTTACTAGAGCTTATATGTGGTAATACAAGTATTTAGGGTAAGCGCAGTTTTCCACAAAAAATAAATACCAGAATACAGTATTTTTTTCTTACACTGTTTTCAGAATGTATCTGACACTGTTTGGGTAATACTTACAAAACTGAAACAAAACGTACAATATATTGTAAAATTTCCTTCACAAAGGGCCTCTTGCAAGATATGCAAGATGTATTTCCACTGCTTCTCAGCCACAAGTCTGAGATACAGGTACCTCATACAATCAACCTGTAGCTGTAAATTTCACATCAAAAGATGAATGAAATTGCAAAGTCAAGAGCCTGCATCAGAAGATCCAGGTCAAAAACTCAAAATTGAGGTTTCGTTTATCAGTTCAGTTTTAAGTTCCCCACTAAACTTAATCACTGAAATGATTTTTAGGGATTTACAAGTCTGAATACCAAATTAATAGGTCTTTTAACTAACACCATAGCTTCAGAATTTACTTAGAAGCAAACTGGAAATCAGCATATATTTGACATACTTCCTGCAGCTCCGGAACATAAACAAACAATAGTAACTTTCAGACTTCCTTCAGTGACCAGCCCCTCTTGTGCAGACTGGACTACTCCAGGCTAGCTGTGAAAGCCACAGACAATTTGAATTCCCCATCAGAGAAAAAAGACTAAGGGCATTCTACGTTAGTGACGACAAAATAAACATTTCACAGCACCAGTGCTATTTCTGACCCAGGAGCAATCCGAGATCTGGAAACTCTAACAAACAGCTGAACTGGCAGACAGAAGATGGATGGCTTTTTGTAGATGGAAGCAGATAACATCTCTGTCACTGAGCATCTACATGCTTCTCTGGAACAACCAGCATGACCTTTACCTTGTCTTTGTTGCAGGTCGAGTGAAAAAATGAACTAGCCATCCTTTTTATTTAGATTTGTTTATCCAAACAGGTATCAGAAAAGCATTTACTGTTTTATGTACAGGAAAACTTGTTTATAGCCTGTAACCAAGACATGATGTCAAGATGCTTAACTATTAATAAGCTGTCCTTTCAGAAAAATGAAATAGGAAATGTGCAGTTGTGTGTATTAATAGCTCCTCTGAAGGCATCCTCTGCCTCATGTAAATTCATCGTTATTGCCAGATAATAATGGACTACATTCAGTACCAGTTCTGATTTTGGTCAGTTCCGTTTATTTCTGTATTGGATCAGCCATTAAAAAAAAAGTTCTCCATAAAAGGATTGCTTTAAAGCAAACAGTGGTGTTACTCTAACAATTATCAAATGACAATTGTATGAATTATTATAAAAGTCTGACATTAATTGTGATTGAGATTAATTGTGACTACACCTAAAGGAACTAGAAGGACTCCATTTTATTTATGTTCAGGTATGTTACTGATGTTCAAATGGATTGGTGCCAGAAAAAGATTCTTATTCAAAGAAAACACATTTCAAAGGAGAAACAACATATGCCCAGCAGCACAAACGTAGATGGGATTGCCAAGGGACAAAGAGGATTAGAAGACGGGCTAAGAATATGGCCCAATAGAAAGGTATCATGTCCTCTATTTTTATCAGAACAGCCTTGAATAGCAACAGAGGTTGCTTTATGATTGCTGGTTTACAAAGGAAACAGCACAAGGGAAGAATTTCATAAGTACCTCAAAGTCCTTATCTAGGCTACAACTGAGCTAAAATATATCAGATTTAATGTTTATTTCTAGATCTCCTTTTTCCCTGTTGCTTTTTTGCTCTTTCAATTTTCTTATGTTCCTTGATATTCTTATTCTACAATACAGTTAATTTATGACTTTGTAGCTGAGTGACAGGTTAATATCTGGATTCTTGTCAGTGGAAGGCTACTGTCATTCCTATGGAATTCCTATCTATGCAAGAGTACTAATATCTCAGTAAAAACAAAAAGCTTTTTAGTTTGTTTTATGAAGACCTGGTAATTTTGGAGTACAGGTTGCAATGGTATGTTTTGCTTCTTTTTGCATCTATTTTAATTATTGATATGCAAAATTAAAAGACAAAACATTTGATGCACAGGGAAAAATAATGTAGTAACTGAAATGATAACAAGATTTTGAAAAGCAGCATCACAGCACGAAAAAAGAACATTACAGAGACATAAGGATGGGTCAGTAGGAAGAGAATAACAGAACATACATGTGCACACCATCACTGAAAGGGACAAAGAGGGAAATTTTACCACAATAAATCAAATCCTTCAACATTCAAATATTTTACACGAAAAAAAATCATCATTTTTGGTTTGATGAAATAAAAACGACTCCTCTGCCTCTCCACAAACCTTTAGTCTTCTGTCTGTTACGTTGCAGAGACAACTGTCTGAACAGACACTAGCAGAAGGTTGAGACTGATAGCTTTCCACTTTCAAGTTGATTGATAGCCATGGGTGGTAGAGGAGGCATTCTTATCATTTTGATTTACTGACTGATGATTAGATAAAGCCTAGCAAGAAAAACTATTCTGCTGCTGCTGCTAATTATGCTGTAGCTGCTCTGGTATTGTAATTTTAAATGCTGGTCAAGGGCACTCAGAGCGTTACACAGAAAATCTCTGAATGGCATTATTGTTTTAGTCAGAAAGCTAAAGAAATAAAGCACCTACTACCCACAAAATAAAATCATGAAGAACATCTTACCATATAAACTGTACCCAAGATTCTCAAAGTACTCCTTACTTTACATGTCAACTGACACACGCTATTCTGATGTTAACATTAATCAGCTTCCAAAGCATAATGCTTTCAAAGGAGAATTATATTTGACACAACCGCTCTCTCTGACTTGTCTTAAAAAAAATTCAAAAAAATTCACATTACAGAAAGTGAAACATAGAATTAAAACTAGAGTCTAGTTAAAATCTAGCTATTTGCATTAGCTGTTAAAGCATATCTTGTTTTAGGAACTGAAAAGAGAACATTCTCACCAGCTTTTCTGCTTCTGTATTCATCTCTCTCAATTGTTTGATGTGTTCCTTCTTGATCATAAGGATTTTCGATAACCTGGTCTAAAACAAAGGAACTATTTTTAGAATGAATAAGTCCTTTAAGCAGTTTTGAAGTGCCACAGAAATTCAAGATAATAAAACGCATGTTTCTTCATTCTTTTAAAATACATTTCTCAGTTGCTCATCAAGTTAAGATGCAGAAATAAAAATTAATTAAAATTAAAAGATGGATTTTCCAGAGATTTTTAAAGCATTTTCAAGTGCCCTAGATTGGAGAATGCTAAAATCCATCAGCCAAAATTCCCTCTAGGAAGACTAATATAATTTATGGCCAGCTAGAGGCTGAAGAATCAAGAATCTTCCTTTTTTGAAGCCTGAAGGAAAGTGAAGGGTGTTCTCATCAGGTACTACAATCAATATCACTCACCTTACCATGCCTTTTTTCACACAGTTCTCAGCCATGCCCTCGACCGAGCACCAGCCCTTTGTGTACACCCCTGCAGTAAAACCTGGTATAAGAGATTGGATCTATTTTATACACAACAACTCTGGGCTTTCCGTTTCCCTCTTTCATAATGGGAATACCCTGTTTCTGCTGCCCTTGGGACCCAGGAGGCTGAAGCGGAAATCAGTGGGAGCGCTCTCAACACACACACGTCACTCCTCAAACTGTTCATACTCTCTGAGGCCTCCAGAGAAATCCTAGCTCCGCTACAACCAGCAACAGTGTTATTACTGATGTAAACTGAGGCAAGATTTCAGGTTTTATATATTTCAAAGGGGTTAACTGCATCCTAGTAGAGGAACATGGGACTGGGAGAAATAGGAACTCCTAGTTTAACATACATCTGTTTATATATAACCCCCTTTGTTGATGATCAAGCTCAGTTTTAAAGCAGCCAGGTTTCTTGCCCTCACAAATCCTAATGGAAAATTGTTCCAGGATCGCTTTCAGCTAATTATGAATCTTCTTGGAATTTCCATGTTAAATGCACCCTTGTTCACGTCATGGCAATTTGTTCTGCCAAAGCTGTTTTTCAGCTAAATATAGGCTCTTCCTCCTTATATTTATCCTTGTTTATTCACAGACAGTAAAGCATTTCTTCACCGTTCTTTTACTAGACTAATCACAACCCAAGCCTTTCCAGTCTCCTCTCCCACAAAAGGCTCTTCATCTCCCAAACTTTTGCGGCCCTTCCTGTATTTTTTTTCCATTTACTGTCATCTTTCCTGCATATGAGCAACGAGAAGCCTGTGCCACTATTCCAAATGACGGAGCTGTAAAGCAGCATCGATACTTCTCTCTTTCTACCACAAACACTTCACCAGATGCATCGTATGAACGGATGGCAAGCCATGGTCAGACACACAGAGGCAATACTGCGTAGGTTATCACTCTTCCGACTCTAGCTACTCATTTCGGTCCTTGTGCTGTCCCCCAACACTCATGGGCTGAGCCAGCATTTGCATTTTTGCAGCTATGTGAAAAACCCAATCAGGGAACCAATAATGACAAACAATAAATTCAGAAAAGAAAAAAGTTGTAAAATTGTTACTTGCGAGCTGGATTATCTCTCTGTTCTAGTTTCTAATACACCACACAAATGCTCATGTTGGCCAAAAAGACACCTGGGAGGAAGGAAAGCACATCAACTGTACACCATCTGCCACTGCTGCCAAAAAGTTACTCCTCAAGCTCTGCTGTTGTCGCCATCCAGCAACTGCCTAACATGTCTAAGTCCTCCTCCTCGATGAAGCTGGTGAGTCTCCCAACTTTATGTAGAATGTATTATTTGTCCCCAGAACTTGCAAGGTATTTGGTGCTTAACTTCTACTTTGATGTCCAGACATATTCGAGGATGCCAGGCCCTAGTCTTCCAGTTCATAAGCATGAATTTTATATTATATACATCCTATTCCCAGATATAGTCCAGTGATCAAGATAATCTGTTTCTTTCTACAAGAAACTCTGACCTTTCATTGTATCTATGATGTCCACCAATTTTCCCTCATTGGTACAATTTTCATAGAATCAGAGAATAGTTAGGGTTGGAAGGGACCTCAAAGATCATCTAGTTCCAACTCCCCTGCCATGGGCAGGGACATCCTCCACTACACCAGGTGGTAATTTTATTGAATAGACTTCCATTTTCATTTGCCAGCATCATCAGTGAACTCAGTTCAGCCCTTTTTTCCTTGAGAAATTCTTGCCTCGCAAGTCTATTTTCAGCCTAACTCGTTCTGTTTACTGTTATGGCTGATAGTTCTCATTAAACTGGAAATGAGGTTTTAGTACAATGCTTGTCCACATTAAAAGAGATGAAGGAACAACCCAACCAGTATGTTTAGATTTGTACTTTAGATTTAATTTTTAGTCAAAAGAGTCTTTATAAAAACACAAGCAGTTCAAAGTAAAGTGTGCAATAACTTACTATGGAATATTTTCAAAATTTTCATAAGCAAAAAACTGTCAAAAATCCAGTACCCGTCGTTAGATTTTTCCTCATCCACTTAAGTTGAGAAGACCACTTCTTTTCCCACAGCACTCAGGAAGACACAATTCACTTTTCCGAGTATGCTGCATTAACCCACCCCCTCTACTGGACACACAGCAGCCCTGCAAACAAGCTCGTTTGCCTAGCGTTTGCTTCCCCGTCTCATTTTTCCCCCCAAAAAAGCTGTAGCTGAGCGCTTGGAAAAACATCCTCTGAATTTTAATACTGACTAGAATGTAATCTATCGATTTTGACCTGCAGTATAGCCTATGAAATATTTAAGGATACATTACACATTGCATGTAAGCATGAAAGTATTTTTTTTTAATTTATTGTTTCTTGTTGACTTTATTCTTAATATCATAATGTTAATTTTTGAATCATTCTTCTCCTAATATGCATATGTTTGTCCACAGCAAAAACCAGAAAGGATAGCAGTCTGATGCCAAAACGTAAACACATAGAAATTAATATAAAGATTTATAAAAACTGAGACTCGCCAGTGTAGAACTATGATTAAAATAGTTGTTACAAGTCCCAATGTTTGCTTACAACTGAAAGTTATATGTAAAGAGAATATCCCTATGATTTATTTGTCATTCTCTGCACCTGATTTTGGCTACACTTCCTTTTGTTCCAAATGAATTTCAGAACCCATAAAAGAGAACTAAGGGGCTGGGCTGAAACCTTATCCAAGGTGTGCTGCATTTTTTATTGCTTTGTCCAAAATAAAGTTTTCCCATGAAATTGTTTATTCATGTTATCATAAATAATTGCCTGGCAATAGTTCTCCAGAAAGATTTCTTTGAATCAAACATTTTCTGATCATTTACTTCCTGAATCACCATTAAATGAGAATGAGGGCTTTGACCTTTTTACTGTACCAGCGTATAAGAAAGGCTAGAACATCTTTAACGGTCACCTTTAACATAAAAATACCTCTGGTCTGGTGAAAGCAGTGCAATTGATAATCAGTACCAGTCTCCGGTATTTCACACTAAATTTCAGTACCATCCTTAAACTTCTAATAAAAAAGTTGATGCTTAAAATGCTCAAGATGCTGGGCTGAAAAATAATGCATGGTCCTTCAATAAACGTTTTTGTAAGCCTCGCAATTCTTTATCAAAAATCTGGATAAAGTATTAAGGTGCTCACATGAATGCCAAAATCTATGGCTTGATTTCGTTCAAAATCTTTTGGCAATCTTCAAGCAAAAATACATACTAACGCGATATCTTTGTAAAATGCCACCATTTGTAATACAAGCAAGAGGCTCATACTTTCAAAACTTAGATTTCCTTATAACAAGTAATAATGTAGCACCAAACATGACTGAGAAATCACACATTTTCAGATATAAAATACAGAAACAATATTATAAACACACCAAGCTGACACACGCAATAGCTGTAAAGCTCAACACACCTTAGTTACCCAGTTTCACTGGTCATATTCAGTGACTCAGGGGGGAGGACAGCCGCTGATATAGTTCAGCAGCATAAACAAAGACTATCTTCTGTGCATTTCAATTTTTAACACAATTAATCTTAGGGCAACTACATATATTTTAAATTTTCTGAGCTAAGCTAAAGGCCAAGCCACACTTTTTCAAAATTAGCTTCAGACAATAAGTTTGCCCTAAAAAACTGAATAGATCCTTCTGTCAAATACAATTCATTATGTTGAATGGCCAAAATATTAGTGTCTCACGTGAGCTACAGAGACAACTAGATTCTTTTGACCAATTACATACGCTTTAAAATTTGAGAAGCATTTAGCAACATTATTTCTCAGTCCTTAATATTTTAAACACAGATAACTCCAATCTCCTTTAGCATGTTCAAACCAGCTCTCATTGTTAAAGAATTCAATCACAGATCTTAAGTTAAGCCAACATAAGCAATTACATTCTTCCATCATCCTGAAGAGTAACTTCTTTGAGGAGTTTTGATATTCAATGAATCTCAGCTTCCTAACATTACTTGTTTGTGCTCTTCTGAACTGTTTAAAAAAAAAAAAAAAAAAAAAAAATCACTGAACAATTAGTTCATAAAGATGACGAAAAAATATTTTTCTTCTCTATAACATGTATGTTTGCTTTCAGGGTAACAAAGAGTGCTGCTTTTCTTCTCCAAGAGGGTAGGACATAACGTAAAATACAATATTATATAATATATGATAATGCACATAGGCAAATGTTCTTTGCATAATGCAAGTATATTTTAAATGGAAAAAAAAAAAGAAAGTCTTAGCACAGTACAAAGTTTGCAAGTAGAAATAATATATTTTTTTAGACCAAGTGGTAGGGCTGGGAAAAATAGGACATGCTTTTGGAGATGTAAGCCCCTTCTGTGGTCTAATGAGCAGCATATTTCAAAGCTCATGGACAAGTGAGAAAATTAAGAGGGATGGGGGGCAGACAGAGACCTAAATATTATTAGCATCTTTTCAAAAGCTAATTTAGATATCATCATATCTGTCATGAATCAACAGAAGGTCATTTAACTCCAGAAGAATTGACAGAATAAACACAAAAGGACAATTCACAAAATTAAGAGTTGCAGTTAACACTTACCACTTGAATGAGGAATTCTACTGGAAAGCCTCCTAGTGTTTCACTATCTGTGCCTGAAATTTTGTTTTTCCATGAAGATTGTCCTAATAAAGGATCGCTGTCCTATACAAGAAAGAATATTCAATTTAATAGCTTATTTTCAGAGGGATTTGCTAAAATTTTTATCTTGCTGAATAACCTCAGAAAATTAATCTCAAAAACTGTTTAAGATAACAGCTTCAACATGTATCAGAAAATATTTCAATGATTAATATTACATGAAAAAAGTAACTTACTGTAATTGGAGACTGGAGTGAAGGTGTATAATGCAATCGGGGAGGGGTCACAAAGAACCTTGAAGGCCGTTGTTTCTGTCCAAAGGCAGCGATTGGCATGGTTTCATGAGGCTCGTTACTCTGTAAGACAGGAAAAGGAAGAATATACTTCAGCTGTCAGATTAATTAATTCTACACACCTGTTGGAATACATAAGTTATTTCTGGAATCTGGACTAGCCATGCTTATCCATGCCCCAAACCCAATAAAGTTTAACGATTAACGTTTTGCTTTTGGGCTAGCAGGAACTCCAAAACCATGTTCCATTGCTGGAGTTTTCAAAGTGTTATGGCACCACATCAAATAAAACCTGCAAGAATATTTCCAAAAATTCTGTTGGCAAGTTGCAGACAAATCATGACTGAACAGGAGTTCAGCAGAGGCTCCAAATTCAGATCATGACAGAGACTAGTTCTTAGACAAATTACAGGCCCTTAGTAGATTCAATGCTACAGAAGACACAAAAGAATGTGGGGTCCTCTGAAAAGCTTGCAGTCTAGGTCAGACTGTTAGGCAGGAACAACTCCTGGAGCTCATAAATTGAGACAAAAGCCTATATGAGCTAGGAAATAATCCCAAACTGTTTGAACAAAGCAACATCCCCACAGGTAGCTTCATTTCAAAATGAGGTTCAATCAACTCATAACACTTGCTTGCAACTACTAGAGAGCTTTCCAGAGTTTGGCAAATTAGAAAGGGCCAGGTTTTCTTCAACATTTTCTGCAAATCCTGCCAGGATCCCATAGCGGAATTTTCTTTGGGATCTTACAATACTTGTTCTATTTCTTCATATTAAACTCAGGCTATTATAATAACCTGTAATAGTCGGTCTAGTAAATTATTCCAGCCTGAGCCGTTATGTTTTTATCATAGAGGGTTATCCTGTTCTATAAAACCATTAACAGTAGAAGCTCATTCCCCTGGAATTTCCCATGCGTCTGTTATGCTTGTTTCTACTTTATGACAATACCATCTGGATGTAACATTCTGAATTTTCTTCTTTTTGATTAAAGCACATAATTGTAGATGATTTTATTTTATATTACAGCTATTTTAAGAATGTGTCATTACTACTTACAAGAACTTCATAATCTGGGACTGTGTGTGTTCCAAGACCTGCCCTGTCGAAAGTCACTCTGTATGTAGCATTAAGTGTGTCTACAGCGTCTATTTGTCCAGTGAAGAGTCCATCATGGACACCTCGCAAACGTGCTTTAAAAAAAAAAAGACAACAAACCAAACATTATAATGTTCTATACCATTGAGAAATATAGACTTAATACATCTTTTGCAAGTAACCTTATATATGTATATTTAAAACTCACAGATTAAATGAAAAAAAAAAAGTAAATCCAGAAAAAGAATTGTATGCAATAGAAATACTACTCAAATGCCTGTTGAATTTATCTTTGCAAATCAAGTATTGCCCAATCTAATCCTTACACTAAGGTCTAAATAAAACACAATTTAATACCCAATACCTCTGACAGGCAAAGTCAATTTCTGGATGATTTTGCATGCCATTTCTCTTCGATGACTTCCACTGATTGACTATGTATTTAGCAAAAGACAGTGAGGAACGTAGCTCAAGGATACAGCTCTAAGAGAGTGAGGAGAGGCAGTGCTGTTCGTGCCTGCTCTTCAGCAACAATTAAGAGCAGCGTTGCTGAAGAATGCAAAAAGCGACCAACAGTAGCGGCTTGAGTGGGAGATACCATGCTTAAGGGAAAAGCATCAGGGTCACAGAGAGACAGGATGGAGGAATTCAAGTTTTTATAAAATTAGGCAAAACTTGTGGAAGGTTTTTAACAATACTCGTTCTTCAGTTATGTGTAAGCTTTTTCAGGAAGGCAATGTCATGTTTAGTACACATGTCCAACTACACTGCACTATCAATTGTGTATCTGTTTCAAAACAGGTATTTTTATATTTACGGAAAAATAAAGCTCAAGTTTTATATTGGGTTAGATTTTAAGCTTTCATAGAGCACTCAGCTCTTTGCATTTAAGCACCTCTCTCTCTCCAAGATTTGTTAGATATACTAGATGTAAAAAAAATGTTTAAAAATCTACAATTTGAACAGCAGAAATAACAAAGAACACTAAGTTTGTACCTCAAAACTGTATCACTGTTTTAAAAATACTAGCTAATCCTCACAAGCACCTTCCCAAAGAGCTAACAATAACAACCTACAATTTTCGATGTTTTAAATTTATTTTAACTATGTGCACTATGTATATTATGATATACTAAAATATTTGCAAAACACTTGGCTGTTTTTTTTTGTTTGTTTTTAAAAAATTACCTGTAACTTTTGTTCCTATTACAAGTGGTAATGGAATTTCTTCTGGAAGATCTTTGAACTGTGAAATATCTGCAACCTTCCGCTGCTGCAAAAGTCTTATTTTCTGCCGTTTCTGTTTTAATGCTGATCTCTCTTCCTCAAAGAATGCAGAGGAACACCTATAATAGAATTAGGTAAAATTATACTTAATTTCAGCACTGAAAACATATGTACGTGAAAACACATCAAACAAATAGGCATCGTTTACAAATCAGTAAAGACAATGAAAAAAGATGGGGATGAAGTGTTCAAGAGAAAAGGATTTTGTTGAACGGGTTTACTCCCCAGAACTATCGTTCCTAAAATAACGGTTTATTTTAAAATGATACTCGGGAACGCCAGCTGTTTGCATTGGTATATCAGAAGAGTACAACTTCTTAGGACTTTTTCTGCTTGTAGGGATCCACCTGGTGTCACAACAAAGCTAAAGCAGGTCACACATCCAGTCTACTCCGAATGCATGTAAGGAGGACTTACTGTGAGGTCCCTGGCTGCCATCACTTACTGAGACATAGTAGATCTCTTTCACACGTGCTCGTTAGCTCAATTAAACTAACTTAGTATGAAAGGGCATCAGACTCAGAAGATAAAAGGGCACTTCTCTGTCTCCTATACTCTGCACAGACGCAAGCAAAACTCACCCACGGTGTCTCTATTCTGCAGATGAATTGCTCTGAGCTTGATCATAATGTAAGTACAAATTTGTTTGAACTTGGTCTGTTGTGTAAAATCAGATAATCTTTAAGCAGTCCCCTCTCCTGTTTTGGGGGACGTGTCTTAAAGTGTAATCTAAAAGATGAAAGGCTCACTCCAAGGCCCTTACTTGGTTTTATTCGTTTCTCACTTTTAACCTATTGAATAGGCATGATGCAGGAGGGAGATACTGAAAGCATAAAGACATTCAGGACTCAATCCTATCTCTCATTCCTTATTAAAAAAAAGTTTTATCATTCCTGTGTCAATGAAAAGTCATATAAAAAAGGAGTACAGATGGTATTGTAGGTCTGCTTTATTGCAGCAGCAGTTATTTATCAAAAATTTACTGCCTTTGTTAATCACTTTACTGCAGTCAAATGCAATTTAAACATTTTCTGTGGAACTCATACAGTTATGTATTGATTACTGATCAATAAAAAGTCCTATTTTACGAGGTTATTTTAGAAGACACTTGACAACTCCTCGGCTGGTTGCCCCTTCTATACTGCAAATTATTTTCTGTTTTAAATCCCTTCAAGATCTTCCTCAGTTAGTTATCTCTCACTCAGTACTGAGCAGTCAGCTCCTACTTCCAAGTCTGCTTCTACTTCTGTCTTACTACATGTTGAAATAAACATTCCCATGTTTTCTTCTGTACACCCCTCACTCAGAGAGTTCCACAAAGCCATTTCACTGTTTTCCAAAATTTCTCTTCCTTGCAACGTGTATGAGAAGATCATTAAGAACTAAGCTGCCAGGGTGTTGAGACCACTTTCTTTCATACCTACCAGCAGTTTCACACTCACTTGTCTATATGCATACATCATTTGCCTTTTATCTTATACATAGTTTCCAAGTTATATAAGGCATAGACCATCTGTTTTGTCCAGTGTGTACAGCGTTAACATAATGAGATCTTAGTCCTAAGCAAGACATTAAAAAAAAAATGAACATGAATGAACTGAAGCTGTGATGTACTTCTGCCAGGTATGTGCAGTAATGCACTGCAGGTTCATTTACTGGGCTTTCCCATCACTGCAACTCAAAAGTTGTCATTATTCTTTGGTACAGTCTAAAAACTATATTGTAGATTGAGTGATTGCGAGTGCGTGTCCCATTCACCAGTTTACCACTGAAGAGCAAAACATGCTTATCCGGAGTTGTGTATCGCCTAACGAACCTCATTAGGAATTCAAAACATCTGGAAAGGGATATGGCAGAGAGAGAGAGATGGTGGTTGGGAGACTTATGCAAAGCTTATTTGGATATTCTCGTTTAAAGATGTTATTTGCTTCGTATTTACTACCAGGGTGGAACAAGTGGGAAATAACGCTTGCCATGGGTTGTAAACATGAAGTAGCAAAACGCAGGTCAGAGCTTTTCAATTTCATTGAGGAGAATGGGGTGACTAATCACAGCAAGATAGAAAAAAAAATAAAAAGAAAGGCAATATAGACTTTAATAACAGTCCTTCTGATCACATCCAGGGCCTTGCATCGGAACATCAGATATTTCCTGACGTTCTTTGACCTGCGCTCTTAGAAAAACAAATTCAAATTCTAATATACTAATCACTGACGTTGGAGGTCCCTACAACAGCAGCTACTGTTTTACTGCTAGCTCAGATGTCCTCAAAAAATCTCTGTTTCGAATGCTGTGAGTCATGGAGGTAGAAAGTATTTGCAATGCATTTCTGGCTTCTGTTACAGGAAATCTCCAAACCCATGCCCCCCAAATGTATTTAATAAAGGTTATCCCGTCTTCGTGCTGTTCCTACGAAAAAATGAAGATGAAAACTATGGTACGGATCACACTGCAACCCCATTACTTTTCTGTAGAGGCTTTTTAAGAGGTTGAACATTCTTCTCAGTTTCTATCTCAGTCATAAGAATCTGAATTAACAGAGGAATCATCACCATCATATAGTTGCAGGAAAAGTGTATCTGAGCTTAATTCATACCCATTGCTATTTCACAACCCCAATGAAGTTATACAGAGTACACAAGGCTAACTATTACCTCTTCCTTTTCTTGGAGCTTATCTTTCCCCACAGTCTACTGGAATCTTACAAGCTTTTCAGGTTCCCATGAAGGACACTGTTGTGCCAATCAACCACACTGTTGATGGTGTGATAAGACATTTAAAATAGCAGCAGACATAAGAAAATATTACAATACATTTAAAACAAAATTTAAAAAAGACAACAACCACGTGCACAGCTATCAAACAGAGACACTATCATCCTCTGCCATCAACACTGTGGATGAAAAATGTCTTATTTTTTTCTCTTCCCTCAGAGGGAGATATTGGTATTGACATGGTATTTAGCTTACTTGCATATGATGAGGACAGACAAGAAATTTCTAACGGAATAGTAATGTCAAAAAGCTTTGCTCTAGAGGTAGATGAAAATTATCTTGAAAAAGCATTCAGATTATTTAGAGTAACTCAAAATATTTTAGAATTAAGCTCAAAGACCACTCTGGAGATCTTGAAAAAGACTACCAATAAATGTTGTGGGTTTTTTTTTAATTATTAAAGAAATGAAAAGCAAACAATAATGCTTACTTTAGGTTGATAAAAAGCAAGATATCGTAAACTTTTGGTTAACAAACAAACTCAGACTCTATATCCAGTCAAATACTTGTACTTCAAAATTCAGATAAAACAACTCCCTGCTCATTTAGACCTGTGGTTCCTTAGGCATGAGTCTCTCTTGTTAAAAAACTAACTATATGGTAGCTTAACAAAAAAAACCTAAATCAAAGCAAACCCCCCCCCCCACACACACACATCCAAAAGAAAAAGGAAGTCATATCAACGGTCCAACAGACTGCTGAATGAGGCAACCTGATCTTCTACAGTGGTACTCATTTTTGGCAACAGTGAAATGAATAAGTGATGATTTCATCTCCAAACACACCAATTCCCTCTCAGTAGGAAGCATGATGATAAAGGAACTAAATGCTATCTCATAGTTAAGCTCAAATGATATGAACACCTTTCCAAAAGGAACTATTTTTAAGGTGGCTCTTGCTGCCTTCCCTGCACTGGCAATTTTTAGTTATGTAAAGTTGTTTACAGATACTGAAGATGAAATAGCCTCCATTGGACAAAATACAATCTCACTCAGTACAGTGATCTATGAAACGGATTCAGTGCTTTAGTATTTATATTTTTGTAAACAAACCAGTCTTTCATTTCTGCAATACTACTTGTATTTCTCTTGTTCTTACAGAGTAAGAGGATGGTTGAGTATGGGAGGGGTCTCTGGAGGTCATCTGCTCCAATCCCTCCAAGCAGGGTCACCTACAGTAGGCCACCCAATATCATGTCCACACCACCTTTGAGTGTCCCTAAGGATGGAGATTTTACCACCTCTCTGGGGAACCTGTGCCAGTGTTCAGTTACCCTTCACAGTAAAAAAGTATTTTCTTATGTTAAGACTGAACCTCCCGTGTTTCAGTTTGTGCCTACTGCCTCTTGTCCCCTCTCCAGTCAACACTAAAAAGAGCCTGGTTCCGTGTTCTCTATACTTTCTCTTCAGGTATTTATACACAGAGATGAGATCCTCCTTGAGCTTTCTCTTCTCTATGCTAAACTGTACAGGTTCTGTGAAAAGGCTGAACTGAACCAGTGGATTTGAGAACTAAGAATTCCAAATTAGAGAAAAACTATGCCCTTCGTTAAATTTGGATTCTTCTCTACAATGTCTAATATTTTATGGGTGACTTTCTCCACTCTCTGTTTTGGCAGCCAAGTCAGGAAAAGTTGAGGATCTATAAAATGGTTCAAAAAATAATAAAATAAATGAGATGAAAACGTGCTTGTTTTCCCCATGAAGAGCTTAGTTATAGCCAGAAGAAAACTTAGAGAGAAATTGGCCTGTTTTCCATGCCAGGAAGCACTGCAGCATAGAAGATACAATAATAATGTCAACATATCCTAGCTTGCATACTCAGTTCTCTAAAGTGGGAAGAGAACATTTAGAGTACAGGCTCACGAGAACTACATGGACTAGACACATGCATATAAGGAATGGGGTGGGAGAGCAGGGTGTGCGCTCAGAGAACGTCTTTTCAATAAAATGTTTTTCTACTCTCAGTTATTATTTTGCTTTACTACCTGCATGCAAAATTACTTTAGAAGTAACAATTCCAGTAACATCAAAACTACAGGCAGCAGTTGAAAAGAAAGAAAGGAAAAAGAAAAATTACCTCCGTGGTTTTCCCATTAATCGTCTGATTTTCCCCCACTCTACTCTTGTCAATTTTCTGGTTTTCAAATTTGGAAAAGATTCTTTTAGGCATACACAGAAGTCATTATCTCCTTCAAATAGTGGTCTGTTGAAACATAATTGGTTCTCTGTTAACTACACTTGGTAAACTTTTGTCACGAGATTCCAAAACATATCCATCATAAGAAATAAATTGAAAACAAAAAGCACAAATTATAAACAACACACTCCTAGTTAAAGGACGAATTTAACCTGAAACAAATTCAACTGCAAACGAAGACAGAAAGTTTCCAGGACTATTGTTCTATTTGAGCCTTACTATCAGTGATGTTTAAAAATGTTCCTCTCTCTTGTTACTACAGGGAAACACATGTATTCATCCTGCTTTGTAATGTATGTAAGGGCATCAAATGAAACTTCAGCAAAGTCAATGCAGTGTCACGAGGACCCTGCAACACACTGAAAGAAACCATAAAGATATGGCGAGGTATGGAGAACAAAGGAAGGGACGATGTGATACTGATCTCTCTTGTTACTACAGGGAAACACATGTATCCATCTGCTTTGTAATGTATGTAAGGGCACCAAATGAAACTTAAGCAAGCCAATGCAGTGTCACGAGGACCCTGCAGCACACTGAAAGAAACCATAAAGATATGGTGAGGTATCGAGAACAAAGGAAGGGACGATGTGATACTGGGAAATAGACAGACAGTACCTTTTTCATAAATTCATTCAGTTACAACCCAGATTCTCAACAGAGAGTTCCAAAACACAGGAAATGGAGCCAACTTGTCATTCGTTACAGCTATACAGATGAGACTTCTCTTATACTATACCACGACTCCATGATGAAGCAGAGGATCAGTATTACAGAAGTGGCAGTTCAGAGAACCTACCTACACAACTTAGGAATTTCTCTTTGATGCTACGACCTGTCCGTATCTCTATGTTTTACGACTGCCTTTTACTTTGTAGTACCACATCCTTCTTGGGCTGAAGAGACAAGGGAGCAGCAATGGACATGTCCATCTAATAGCAGGTTAATCATTAAAGACTACGTGCAACTGAAAGAGATCTCACCTGGTCAGAACAAAAGAATAACTGCATTCTAGATGAAGCCACTTTTCTCCACTCTCTGCAGGGTGCTGGAGTTTAGAGTGGAATATCCCCAAGCACAGAACAAAGAGGATCTTGGAAGCAACATTGCTTTCAAGTGAGTGTGTAGGTTGTTGTGAGAGAGGGAAGGTGCATAGAGATAAGAAGACAAGAACGGAAGAGAATATTTTTGCAGTAGAAGGATCTGCAGCTGTGGCACGAAGTGAAAAGAAAACCACAAAGGATAATCAATGAGACTGAGGAAAAAGACAAGGAAGTGTATGAAAGTTTTATTTTATCCAGATTTACTGTGACTAACATAAGATATATGTGTAAAGAACAAGGGTTTTGTTGTGGGTTTTTTTTGAGAAAGAGAATCTATATTTGATCGGTTTTACTATCACTTGTCCCTAAGCAGGCAAACTGTAACCCCACATCATCCATAACATTGGAAGCTCTGGGAAATGGCACAAGCAAGCTACAGCTCTATCTGTTTCTGAGGGCCTATGATCACTGTAGTAGTACATGGCTCTTTAGAAGTCTCTGCATGTCAGAAGTCAATGGGATTTTAAAGAAAACAGTCCTCTGCAGCAGCGTAGAGAGAATTCAACTGAAACAGCTTCAGTAATCTAATAACCACAGATGACAGTTGTAGAGACTATCATATTTAAAATAATTATAGTAGACATGGCATTTAAATTATTATCTCAATTTCGGATGAGACAATTCAACTAAAATATTTTGAGACTTGTCCAGTGAGCCGTATTTTGTCAGTTGACAGTTGGCCCTATACTTTAAACTTTTTTAAGCTTCTCATTAAGTCTAGATCATATCACCCAAAACAACATACATGGAAGCTTTTCTTCCAAAAATACGTAGTTTCTTAGCAATCTATGTTACAATATCTTAACATGGTCATATCTTATTAGCATCACAAGCATACACTGACAACTATCAAACAGGTTTTCAGAATTATCTGCTAAACTCAAATTCTAGTCTACTGATAGACTTAAAGATCCACAGACAATTATTTGAGAATAAACTAAAAGTACTTGGATCGTAAAAATTGTAATTATAAACATCACATATTAGAATTACTACTAGGAATAAGCAGAGTTTGACTTCTTTGAGGTTTTTTGTTTTGTTTTTCAGATGGAGGGGGGGGAAGCATGTAAAGACTACTTTCAAAGGAATTAAATCCTACAGGTGATGAATTTAACAAAAACGGACATGTAATTTTTCTACTTGTGACAAACATATCCTAAAATGTTTTTCTGTTGCTATGACTGCCTTCTCAGTTAAAGAAAACAGCCACAGCAATCGTGATTAAAATAGGAAGGAAAACCAGTAATTATTTTGTTACGAATAAATTCTGGAAAATAATGCTTTTTAACTCTGAAGCAATTCTTTAGAATATTAAATACTAGTGTTTCATATATTAGTCAACCACTGTAGATGCTAAGAGTCTATTCATCAATAATGACTTTTACATTTTAGAATTTTTTGGGGTTTGTGATTAGGGACTGAATTAAAATGGTTCTTTTAAACAATTCGCACCACCTTGCTAGTGGTGTTAAGAGAACAAGGGCCAAAGACTCTGAGGGACAAATTACAGAAACAATCTAGGAGATAGATTAGAGATCCAAGAGGGATGCTGATACCTAGACAACAGCCTGAATAGTCACAACTCTGCGCTCTGTTAGTGATCACAATAAAAACAGGATGATGAAGAAGAAATATCCGAAATCAACATTTACACTTTTTAGGGAAGCAACACCTTATGAAAAAGCAGTCTCCTTCCCATCCCTCGTGTATAACACTGATCCAAAGGTTCAAAAAGGTTTAAGTGTTCTGATAACTTCATGCTTAAGATGCTGAAAACATTACGAATAAAATCTTGTATCTGGTAGAGGCAGAGGTGATAAAAAGAAAACTATTTCCATGAAGGAAGCTTTCCATAGAAGACTACCCAAGGAACTACCCAAGTAGGTTGCTCATTATAAAAAGAGGGAAAAAAACCCACCACAAAACAATGAAACAATTTTCAATAACTAATAATTTAAGAATAAACTTTGGCATATCAAACCAATATACGGAAATTTGCAGATCAATTTCAGAAAATGACTTGTTTCTACACTAATAAGAGATAATGACATAAACCAAACATACTTATCTATATTTGAATAGAACCATTCGTATATACACCACTTGTGAGCTTTGGGAAGTTTGAGCAGGTTACGAAGCCGTAAACCAATCTTCTGTGATGCTTTCTTGTCTGGTGTTGGCATTGTTGTATTAAACTTCTATGTAGTAAAATAAAGGAAACAGTTAAATACAGTCTAACATTTTTCAATATCCAAATAATTAAACTAGATTTTCTTGACACAAGTTTGCACATTAATAATCGTTACATTTTAATGGCACATACTGTTTCACGACAAATTTTTTGTTGCAGATCTATAACAACCCTTCCTGTGTTACATCGGCA